CCAATTGAGGATTTCCAACTGATCAACCAGAGGAAACCAGCAGAATAAACATTGTGTCATAATTTCAGGCCTCTTGGATTCCCATAGGTGTTGTCCTTGGCCATTCCCCGACATCCCTTGAGAATGTTTATGAATCTCACTGGAGGGAACTGGTTGTAAGAGTTCTGATAAGGATGGAATTATCAGTGTCCTCGAGTGCATCCTTGGACATTGCTCACCGCTCTTGTCGTCCCTCCCCCCCCCAAGGTCTACGTCACTATGTGCTTGTATGTGTGAGGTGTTTTCGTAATATTGGAGTCTTTCTTCTCAGTCGAGAAGAAAAAGTTTAATAGGAATTTTTTTTACCTCCGTTTCCTGTGTGTTCCAGTCTCATCACTTTTTGTCTGTCTACACAGGTCTCACTTGTAAATGAGTCTTCAAGGCTCAATGTGATTTATGTGTTTAAATAAAGGTTGAATGAAGGAATAATCAGTGTTTAATAATGATAAAATAAAATTATATCCCGTGTTCATTAATAATAATTAAATAGTTATAATCGGTGTTCATTAATAATAATAATAAAATAAATAGTTATATTTGGTGCTGGTGACTCAAAGTTTATTTTTAACAGTTTGAGCATGGTACGGTTAATCCGGGTCTCGTCTGGTTCTGTCTTTCTGCAGGGGGTCTGTACAACGGAGAGGTGGTGGTCTGGGACACAAGCCGGACTCAGGATCCAGTTCTGGCTCAGACTGGGCTGTGTGCAGAGGGCCATAGAGAGCCAGTGTTTCAGGTGACGAGAAGAATTTAAAAGGTTTTAGATTTTTCTTCAAATTAAAGATAAAAAAAAACAGGAAGAGATTTTTGACCCGACTTCTGTACAGAACTGAACCAGCAGAACCTCTGGACTAGGGGTTGAATCGACTAGTTGATTCTAGGACATCTTTGTGACTATTTGATGTGAAATATAAAAACTCACAGTCATCACCGCCCGCCCCACTGTTCCCAGCCCTATTCCACCCAGTCCACCTGTGGATTAAATAAAATAAAACTAAAAACGGCGGGGCGGTAGAGCCGTCATTTCTAATACGGCCACGCCCTGCCTGGCTCGGCCATGCCCTGCCTGGCTCGGCCACGCCCTGCCTGGCTCGGCCATGCCCTGCCTGGCTCGGCCACGCCCTGCCTGGCTCGGCCACGCCCTGCCTGGCTCGGCCACGCCCTGCCTGAGCCAAAATAATGTACTGGATGGGCGGGCGGGTTGGTGTCGGCTTTTGATTGCGTCAGCGAACACGCACGGCTGACGAGCCAATTTGGATCATCAGCAACCGTGTCCAGATGGATGGCTGCCAGCGACCCACCTGCAGCTTAACTGGACCCAGCTGCTGCGTCAGCAGACATCGTGCAGCCGATGACCATTAATAACTATAATAACTATAATATAATAATAAGGTGCTCCACCACCCCCCGCCCCACTGCCCTCCATTCCATTCCACCCAATCCACAGTGGTGGATTAAATAAAATAAAACTAAGAGGGGGGAGGCGCCTCCCCCCGCTCTTAGCCTTGTTTGTTACGTGCCACACGTTTCTTTCACTTTTGCAGCTTAATCATAATTTTGTTTTTCCTGTGACTTATTTGCAGTATAATAAATGTTAGGAGCATAAATATACGCCCAATGTTTCTTTTTTTTGTAAATAATAAATGACCTTTTTTTGTGAATATTTATTTATTTATCCAACATTTTTCAGTCAGGTCATCTGGACAGTTTCTTTTTTTGTGCTAAAACGTTTCAACTTCCATCCAGAAGGCTTCATCAGTCAAGGAAACACACAACACAAAACTATCCTGATGCATGCTCAATAATCCAGGTAGAAAAATCTAAAAAAGTTCAATCTGGTCCTCTGGACATTCAAAAAAAAACCAAAACAAAGCAAATCAATTTTTTGTTCATTTGCTTTGTTTTGTTTTTTTGAATGTCCAGAGGACCAGATTGAACTTTTTTAGACAACACAAACTGATTCTTCCCCCATACAGCTTACTCCAAAGTGAAACAAACCAGTTATGTTGGTGCTAAGATGGTGTCTTTGGCACGCCCCGCTGGAGGAGGGGGCATGCCAAATTGAAAATTGTTGGATTGTATACCTGGATTATTGAGCATGGACTTTGTTGGTTTGAACCAGTTTGACATAACGGTCGACAAGGGAGAGGGCCGGCTCTGGCACCTACTCTGGACCACCATCAGGGTTCTAATAGGCCGGTTCTTGCTGGTTCCAGGTGTCCTGGGTCCCCCTGCAGAGGAGAGGAGAGTTCGGACTTGTGAGTTCCAGTTCTGGAGGTGGAGTTCTGCTGTGGAGGGTGGGTTCGGACCGGACCGGGCTGGTTCTGGACTCTGGATATGCCTTCATACAACAGCAGATCCCCAACAGCGGCAGAACCAGCATGAAGGTGTGTCTCAGAACTGGACCGTTCTGGCCCAGGTTCTTTGAAACGTGTCTATTTAAAGAGGAAAAGTTTTATAATCCGTCAGCTGGATGTCACGTCTGTTAGCAAAATATCTGATGGCCCACTGGATGAACAGGTTCTGGAGCTGGTCCAGTTCAAGATGGCTGCCACAGTAAACGCAAATGTTTGAACACAGCAGGCTCTGAAGCTTCTGTTGGCTGCGCAGGTCCAAGGCAGCAGCACCGTGGGGGTCACGACCCTGGCTCTGTCTCCGTGGGACCCGGACACCTTCCTGGTCGGGTCTGAAGGAGGTCTGCTGCTCCGCTGCTCCTTCTCCTCCCAGACTCCGGCTGCAGTACCAACTGAGGACCGGACCGTGGGTCTGAAGGCCCCTGCAGTCTTCTCCTTCAGACCTAGCAGCGGTCCGGTCCACTCCATCCACTGCTCCCCGTTCCACAGGTCAGAACTCCTCCCCCAAGACCTGACCCAGACTCAGGAACCCGGTCTCTGACCCCAACCTGTGTTTGCAGGAACCTGTTTGTGAGTGCTGGAACTGAAGGTTTGGTCCACGTCCACTCGCTGCTGCAGGCCGATCCGGTTCTGTCCGTCAGGGTGTCGGACTCCTACCTGTTCCAGGCGCAGTGGTCCCCGAGCCGACCGCTGGTGTTCGCTGCCACCACCGGACACGGTAAGACCAGAACCGGTCTGCTTGATGTCACAGTGAGTTAAAAGGACAGTTCAGAACTTTTACTGTGGGGAGAAGGTGAAAACAACATCTTACCTGTTGCAGATGAGCTCGTTATTAAACTTTGACTCGTTAATTTGATCAGAAAGGAAGAAATTATTCAAAATGATTTCAGCCACAAATAAAGATCATTCTAGTTTTTATTTTCATTTGATTTATTAGGAAACAAACTTAGAAATGTCTCAATTAGGCTTGTTTAGTTCTGCTTTTTAAATTTGTTAAACTTTCATTTATCCTAAATTACTAATTACTGTGAGTTTGTTGTAAAAGCTTTAATTTTTTATGATGAAACCAAGTTTAGTTTTGTATAAAGGTCAATATGTTGTTTCAAAATAAAAGCATGTTTTTGGCTCTGGACTGATGATTGGGGGAGCAGAAATGTCTCTCTAAGCTTTCAGACGTTGGAGATAACGACCATCTGAACAGAACTAGGACCCAACTGGACCACTGCCTTCACAGCAGTTCACCTGAAGTGCTGATTGCAGCAGCAGCTACCTGTAGCACTTCCAGTATGGACTGGAGCTGTGATCCAGTTTGGCTCTGGTTCTATTCATTCAGCAGTCGAAACCTTTCTAATCTTAAGATTAGTTGGTTTTTTTTGTTTTTTTTCACAAAACAAAATCTATCCAGAACCACGAAACCTGCTTTATTTTGAAAAACCAAGAACTCCATTAGTGTTAGTTTTAAACTTTTGTTTTATAAATCCCTTTGTTTAAACACTAAACTATAATTGGATCGTGGTCAGGCTGCACATCAGAGGAAGTATGGATTTATGACGCAACATGAAGTGAACAGAACCAGATCTTCATCTTTGAACCCTCAGACCGCTGGACCAGGAAATCCCTTCATATGTTTGAGGTCATTGTGGATCCTGGAGCTCCTGAAGAAAAGAGTTGACATCAAAACAAATCAGATAGTTCAAACATTTAGGATTATTAAAATCAGTAAATATATAAATAGTAATAAAGTTAATAATTATAATAATAACAAAATTAATAATAATAATAAATTATAATAACAGTAATTATAATAAAGTTAGGCAGCACGGTGGTGCAGCTGGTAGAGCTGCTGCCTCTCAGCGAGCAGGTCCCTGGTTCAAACCCCGGTCCAGAGGCCTTTCTGGGTGGAGTTTGCATGTTCTCTCCGTGCATGCGTGGGTTTTCTCCGGGTGCTCCGGTTTCCTCCCACAGACCAAAAACATGCATGTTAGGCTGATTGGTAACTCTAAATTGTCTCTAGGTGAGAGTGGGAGAGAGACAAACGAGACAAACAACCATTCTCTACGTGTCCCTGTGATGGATTTGTGATCTGTCCATGTCCAGGGTGCACCCGCCCCCCGCTCAGTGATTGCTGGACATGGGCACCAGTGAACTCCACGACCCAAAAAGGAGGAAGCGGGTAAAAGATAATGGATGGATGGATAATAACGTTAATAATCACAGTATTGTTATAATTATTAACTTTATTGTTGTTATTGTTATTAATTGTTATAGGGCGGCTGTGGCTGAGTGGTTAGAGCAGTCGTCCTCCAATGTGAGAGTTGGGGGTTCGAATCCACCAGTAGTCACATGCTGAAGTGTCCCTGGGCAAGACACTGAACCCTCATAGCCTCTGATGTGTGTCCCATCAGTGTATGAATGTGATCTAAATCACTGATTAGTCTCTTTAGAATGATTTGTTCCATTATCTTTGTAGAGATCTAGTATAGAGCTGTATGAACGGGTCAATGAGACACAGATTGTTGTAAAGAGCTTTGAGTGTCTTGATAAGATAGAAAGGAGCTCTATAATTATACAGTCCATTTACCATTTATTATAATTATTACAGTTAATAACGTAATTGCCATTCTACAAGTGCTACTTTTGTCTCACACTTCGTACGCTACAGGTTTATGTGCAGGAGCGTCTTGTTTATGCATTTTTTGGCATGATTTTCAAAATTTATATTTACATTTTATTTTGAAATACTTCCTGCCATCTCTCAGTAGCTTCCTGCCACTAACATTTTCCTTTGACAGAGCTGGGTGCTCATGGCTCCCAGCACCCTGCCCCTCGTGGGAGCAGCATTTGTGACAGAGAGAATGTCCTCAGTTAATCAGATGTACACCCCCCCCCCCCCCCCCACGATTTCAAATTCCCTACCATAACTCCACCCACTCTGTCATCATGTGACCAGAAGTCTAACCTGAATGACCACCAGGTACTCTCAAGGACCATGACCCAAGATAGATGTGCATGATTGTTCCTGTGCCGTTTATCGTATTTTGCGCTTCATGCACAGACCTGTTCATTTGTTCAATTCACTTCAGTTTATTTATATAGCACCAAATCACAACAAAGTTGTCTCAGGGACTTTCACATACAGAAAAGTTAATTAGTAAATCTGTTGTCCATTGTTTCATCTTTCTTTGTTAAATCAGGTCTCTCTTGTAAATGTCCTCGAGGCTCAGTGGGATTAACCTGTAGAAATAAAGGTTGAATGAATGAAAAAAAATATTGTACAAAATTATCTCAAAAATAAAATATTTTTTTCCTGCATAACAAAACCAAAATCACAGCTGTGCACTTTAAATTCAAACATAAAACATACAGAGCAAATGAAAGCGTAACTTGCTCTTTAAAAAGTCTGATTCAGCTCAGTTGGAGTTTTTTTCTCTCTAGACGTGGACGGATCCTTGTTGTTCAAGCTTGTTTGTGCTTTACTGGTTTACTGCTGTGTATAAATACCAGAAGAAACGGCAAATAAATCATCCTAAACTGGATATTTGTCTCCATGTTTTTTAATGAGAAGACAACTTAATACCATACCACTCTTAAACCGTTAATTTCCTGGAGAACACCAAACCTCGGCTTTGTAGGTTACAGACCCCTGGGCTGGACTTTATTCCACTCTGGAGTTGCCCATGGTGAGAGGTGCTGAGCTGGTGTGGGTCTACTTTTAGCCCCCCGACTTGGTGCCCGTTTGTTGAAGTTTTCCACGGTAGATGAGAGGGTGGCTTCCCTGCGCCTTCGGGTGGGGGGGACGGGCTCTGATTGTTGTTTGTGCCTATGCGTTGAATGGCAGTTCAGAGTATCCGGCCTTCTTGGGGTCATTGGCAGGGGTGCTGGAAGGTGCTACAGGGGAATCCTTTATTCCGCTGGGGAACTTCAATGCCTACGTGGGTAATGACTGTGTGACCCAGAGGGGTGTGATTGGGAGGGACAGCCTCTCTGATCTGAACCCAAGCGGTGTTTTGTTGTTGGAATTCTGTGCTAGTCGTAGTTTGTCCATCACAAACACCGTTTGAACATAAGGGTGTCCATAAGTGCACTTGGCACCAGGACGCTCTAGGTTGTAGATCAATGATCGACTTTGTAGTCGTGTCCTCTGATTTGCGGCCATTTGTTTAGGACACTCAGGTGAAGAGAGGATCTGAGCTGTCAACTGATCACCACCTGGTAGTGAGTTGGATCAGATGGTGGGGAAAGATGTTGGACAGACCTGGTAGACCCAAATATGTAGATTTTCCTTTCCACTGTTGCCTTCATGCTTGATCAAGATGAGTTCTGCGATGGAATTAAATTCAAAGCAGTCTGCTCCTCAGATAAATAGTGTTAGCTTGTTTTTTTTTCAATATATAAATGTTTCTGTTCAGTGCCCTGAGACTACTTCTGTTGCGACTGGCGCTATATAAATAGACTAAATTGAATTGAACTGAGGGTTTGCTGGAAACACCTGGCAGAAGAACCCGTCAGAAAGATCTTCAACTCGCACCTCCGGGAGAGCTTTAACTGCATCCCAGGTGAAGTGGGGTACATTGAGTCCGAGTAGGCCATGTTCCGCGCCTCAGTTGTTGACGTAGCTGCCTTGAGCTGTGGGTGCAATGCTGCACCCAGATACCCTGGGTCAGGGAGGCTGTCGAGCTGAAGAAGGAATCCTATCGGGCCTTGTTGGTTGGTGGGACTCCAGAGGCAGCTGAGGAGTACTGGAGGGCCAAGCAGTCTGCAGCCTTGGATGTTGCTAAGGCAAAAGCACGGATGTGGGAGGAGTTCAGTGAGACCTTGGATAAAGACTCGGTCAGCTCCGAGGAGATTCTGGCAAACCATCAGGCAGCTGAGTATGAGAAAGCAGCACTTTACTAACACTGTTTTCAGTGAAGGTGGGGTACTGTTGACCTCAACTAGTCATGTTGTCAGGTCCCTTCATGTAAAGCGTGCTGTTAGGAATGAGAAGGTCCAAGAAGTATTCCTTCCACCTCCTTAGTAAGGGACTTCGGGCTTGGTCTGTCCATAACCTTGGCTGAGGTCGCTGAGATAGTTAAAAAGCTACGTGGCAACAGGGCTCCAGGGATGGATAAGATTCACCCTGATTTACTTAAGGCTCTGGATGTTGTTGGGCTGTCTTGGTTGGCATGCCTTTGCAACATTGCGTGGACATTGGGGACAGTGCCATTGGATTGGCAGACCCTCGTCAAAAAGGGTGTGCTCCAATTATAGGGGCATCACTCTCCTTAGCCTCCCTCTATTCAGGGGTACTGGAGAAGCAAGTCCAATCATTGGTCGAAATTCTAATTCAGGAGGAACAATGCGGGTTCCGTCCTGGCCATGTAACACTGGACCAGCTCTTTACCCTCACTAGGGTCCTCGAGGGGTCATGGGAGTTTGCCCATCCAGTCTGCATGCGTTTTGTGGACTTGGAGAAGGCATTCAACTACGTTCCTTGAGGTACACTGTGGGGGGTGCTCTGTGAGTTTGGGATTGGGGGCCCATTGTTATGGGCTATTTGGTCCCTATACAAGCGGTGGGAGAGTTTGGTTTGCATTGCTGGTAGTAAGTCAGACCCCTTCAGGATGGGAGTTGGACTCCGCCAGGGCTGCCCGTTGTCTCAATCCTGTTTGCAACTTCTATGGACAGAATTTCTTGGTGCAGGGGGTGGAGGGAGTCCAGTTAGATGGCCTCAGGCTTCCATCTCTGCTCTTTGCAGATGATGTGGTCCTGTTGGCGTCATTGTGCCGTGATCTTCAGCTCTTACTTTAGTGGTTCACAGCCGTGTGTGAAGCAGCTGGGATGAGAATCAGCATCTCCAAATCTGAGGCCATGGTCCTGAACTGGAAAAGGGTGGATTGTTCTCTTTGGGTCGAGGGTGAGGTTCTGCCTCAAGTGGAGGAGTTCAAGTATCTCAGGGTTTTGTTCACGGAGTGAGGGAAGAATGGAGCGAGATTCACAGATGGATTGGTGCAGCATCTGCAGTATTGCGGACCCTGTGCCGATCCATTGTGGTGAAGAGGGAGCTGAGCTGTAAGGTAAAGCTCTTTGTTTACTGGTCTATGTTCCTCCCCTCACCTCTGGTCATGAACTCTGGGTAGTGACTGAAATAATGAGATTGTGGATACAGGAGGTTGAAATGAGTTTCCTCTGCAGGGTAGCTGGGCTCTCCCTTGGAGACAGGGTGAGAAGTTCAGTTATCAGGAGACTCACAGTAGTCCTTCCAGAAGAGCTGGAAGAGGCTGTGGAGAGAGATGTCTGGACCTCCCTGTTCAAGCTGCTGCCCCAGAGACCTGACTTCAGAACAAGCAGAATGGATGGAATTATATTAATAATAATAATAATAATAATGGTAATAATAATTATTAACTTTATTATAATTAATAATCATATTAGTATTAATAAAGTTCAGGCGCTCACAGACTCGTGTCCTGTTGGACCTCATTGTCTGAAAATATCTGAACTATCCCCTGTCCTCCAGGTCCGGTCCACATCTTTGACCTGGCCCGCCCGTCTCTTCGAGCCGCTGCCACCATCGAGGACAGCGAAGCAGACTGCGCCACCACCTGCCTGGCCTTCAACCATCACAACCCTTGGCTGCTGGCAGCGGGTCGGTCCGATGGGTCCGTCGGCGTCTGGAGGCTGAGTTCTGACCTGGTGGACCTGGGTCCTACTGAGATGGCTCAGCTGGAGCAGATAGCCAATCAGGTGTCAGAATAAAGACAGAACCAGAGGTTCATTTCTAACCAGTCGGCATTTATTAAAGCACACAGAACAGGACAGAACCGGTGGCCCGGTTCTGATTAAAGCAGGCTAACATTCAAGTGAAACTACTGAAGCAGAGATACATTTGGAGCGGTTCTGGTGTCATGCAGCAGTTCTGGTGTGGAGGGAAACGGGTCAGTTGACAAACAGCGAGCGAGTGAACTCCACAAAGTCGAAGGCGGACGGAACCTCTCGTCCCTTGCTGTCCAGGAACGGCTTCATGTGGGACAGGCAGTAGTCTGCCTGCTCCTTGGTCAGGTTCTGGAGGAACAACAGAACCGTGAGCGGACCCAACACAGACCGGGACCAGCAGCAGACAGCAGAGGACTGGACTGACCTGATACAGCTCCTCCTTGGTGACGTAGGGCTTGTTCTCGGTACTCAGGGCCCGGAAGGCGCTCTCGATCTCCTCGCTGGACTTGACGTTCTCCGTCTCCCGGCTGATCATGAAGGCCATGTACTCCTGCAGAGACACGTTCCCGTCCCTGCACACACAACTGGGTCAGAACCAGAACCAGAACCAGCACAACCTCCCCCAGCCCTCTGACTCCAGGGACCAAGCGGACCTGTTGGGATCCACCGTGTCCAGGATGGCCTCGAACTCAGGGTCCGGTTCCCCCTCCTCCACCATGGGCAGGTCGTAGCCCAGAGACCGGAGACAGGACTTGAACTCCTGGTGGTTTAGACGACCCGACTTCTCCTTGTCGAAGTGCCTGAATGAGATCGGACCGGGTTAGAAGTCCTGCTAGAACACACAGGACTGCTCAGAACCAGAACCAGAGTCTTACTTGAACATCATGCTGAACTCCTTCAGGGCCTCCTCCGTGACTCCGGTCGTGTTTCTAAAACAGAACCAGAATCAGTTTCACTTCAGAACCTTTCCAAGCTGAAACTGGTGCTGGACCCAACATACCGGGCCTGGATCTGCTGCTCCAGGTTGTGCTGCATCCTCATCCCCAGCTGGTCCAGCTGGTCCCACTGCTGGGCCAGACCCACGGTGCTGTGCTCCGTGTACTTGTTGTCCAGGATCAGGGCCTCCTCCATGGCAGCGCCGAGGTCCTCGATCTTCTTCAGCTGGCTGCGCATGGCCCGGATCTCCTGGTGCTTACGCTGCACAACAGAACCAGAACCGTCACTTACTGCTCCACTGGAGTCCAACAGACAGGTTCTGGTCCAGTGAGGCTTACCTTTGTGGCCTCCAGCTGCGACTCCAGAGTCCCGGACTCCTCGACCATGCAGGACCTGATACCAAGCAGAACCAGATCAGATTCACACAAAGACATGGACCCTTGAGAACCGGGTCCAATAACTCAAACCATGCAGTGTTAGAGGCACAGCACACAGAACGTTAGTGGGTCAGAAAAGATCCGAGCCGGGTCCGGATGCCTGGTTCTGCAGAGGCTTTTCTGTTCCAGTCCAGTCAAAAAAAAAGGGACCCAATAAGAGAAAGCGTCTGAGGAACCAAGGTCTGGATCAGAACCTGACTGCAGACATGCAGGAACACAGAATCTCTAGAACTCTGCAGAGTTTGGGTCGTTAGTTCTGCAGGAAGGTGGTTCTGGACCAACTCTGTGGTTTTAGGTCAAGAGAGACAAAAACCAGAACCGGTTCTTGACCTTCCAGAAAGATCACCAGCTACTTGGTACTGACAGAGACAGAAGAGACGCTTCAGAGGGAGGACAGGAGGGGACAGAGGAGACAGCAGGAACCTGTCCAACACTCAGAGGAGACAAGGAAGTGATATTAACCCGTCCAGAAGATACGTCCTGTTGGACACCAGCAGAACCCCGCGCAGCAGGAAGACAAGAAACAGAGAGACGGTTAACAACCAGGAGACATGGGGTCCACCAGAACCATGCAGGAGACATTTACCAAGTGATTGACCAGAACAGGTCCTCTGTGGTTCTGAAACTTCATGTCTTTTTAAAAACATTGACAATTGAATTAAATGTTGGAATTTACAGTTTGTTTTTATAATAAAACATGAAAAATAAAGTTTTTCCAGGATCAAACACAAAAACCTTTCAGCGTGGTGGTTTACGACAGCACCTGAACGTAGCACGACCTCTGCCTGCTCAGATATCAGTAATTTAAAAACACCCCATGTCTGATACACATTTAGTATACCCTCATTACTTACACATTTATTACCCATTTAGTATGCGCTTATTACTTGCATGCTTATTACACAGCGAAGCGCAGCTGGACTCCAGGACACAAACACCTGGAATCAGAAAACTGATTTGATGTTCAGTAAATATGAAAGGAGATTTACACAACGATGTTTTAAATTATTTGACGTTACTTGAAGGCAGATCTTGATGCTGCTCAATAATCCAGGCAGAAAAATGTAAAAAAGTTCAGTCAGGTCCTCTGGACGGTTCTTGTTGAAACATTTTGTCTTTTATCCAGAAGACTTCTTCAGTCAGAGGAGCTCAGTCTTATAAATAAGACCATCTCATAGTGCAGTGCTCCTCAATCATTTTCTGTTACTTGTTCTGTTATTTTCTGACCCTGTGACGCCCGCCCACTGCTCCAACCTAGAAATGAGGATCTCATGGTGGATGGTGTCAAAAGCAGATGTGAGGTTCAAGGACAAGCAGCACAGAGTCACCAGCATCTGTGGATCTGAAGATGTCATTAAAGACCTTCAGCAGGGCAGTTTCAGTGCTGTGGAGAAGTTTAAAGCCAGACTGGAATAGCTCTAAGATGGCGTGATCCTCCAGGAAGCACTTCAACTGGGACTCAACTGGGACTCAACTGGGACTGGGATATGTATTTTGGGGTTAACCCGAACACTAAAGATCCATTATTAGTCTGATGGTCCTCCTTGATCATGTGAACAGCTAGTTCTGGATGTCAGCAACAAACTGGTTGATCCACATTTATAAGACTGAGTTTACTGCAGCTCCTCAGACTGAAGAAGTCTTCTGGATGAAAGATGAAACGTTTCAACAAGTTTTTTATTTTATTTTTTAATCCGGCCAGAGGACCTGAGTCAACTTTTTTAGAATTACATGAAGACATTTTCTCAGACGTTAGCGTTAGCCTGCTGTAAGCTGCAATGCATTATGGGTGGACACTTCAAAGACAGCCTGATCTGGGTCTGGATAAACCTGAACCTGGTTCTGTACCTGGTCTCCTGCAGCCACTGGTGGAAGGCGTTGGCGTGCTGAGCGAACTCCTGCCGGAGCTTGTCGTTCTCTTCCTGCCTCCTTTGCTCCTTCTGCAGCTCCAGCTCCCTCTCCTGCACACAGACCAGGATCAGTGAGTCTTCAGAACCTCCAGCAGAACTTCAATTTGTCCAGGAGCCAGAGCAAAACCTTGATGATCTTCTGCAGGTTCCTCCAGGTCTCCTCCAGGGCCTCCATGGTGAACCAGGTGTAGGGGTTGGACACCACCTGGTAACTCTTGATCTGCTGGTCCAGCTCGGCCAGCTGGTTGAAGTCGGCCTGCGCAGAACTCAGCGAGGACCGGAACGCATCGTGGGCGTCCCTCAGGGCCCGGATCTCCTCTAGGGAGTTGCACCTCACCGGGTCGGTCAGGTCCTCCTCTGCATTCTCAAACCAGCTGTTGAAGGCCGAGGCTTTCTTGGCAAAGGTCAGGAACAGGTCCTCTACCTGTGGCGGACATGAAAACATGAGAGACTGACGGTTCTGAGAAGGACCATTCCAGAGATGTGGACCTCCCTGAAAAGGTCTTGATCTCTGCCGGTATGAGGAACACCGACCTTCCTGAAGTGCTCCTGAGCCTCCAGGAGCTTCTTCTTGCGGGCGGCCGAGTTGGACAGCAGCTGGTTCCAGCGTTTGATGAGAGCCGCGTGCCGGGCCTCGATGGCCCTGGACTGGATGTGCTGGGCCGCCAGGAGCTGGTCCTTCAGGGCCGTGATGTTGGTGATCCCCTCCTGCTGGAACGCCTGCAGACCGGCATCAAAGGTCTCCTGCAGATCGAGGAGCAGAGGAGTCAGAGCTCCTCCTGCAGAGCAGGAGTCCTCTGTGGAGGAGAACCTACCTGCTTGGTGAGCAGAGTCTGGACCGAGGACAGGTCTCGGCCGAAGTCGTCCGTCTTCAGGCTGTTCTCCTTCTCGCCTGAGGAGGAACCACAGCAGGAGGTGAACACAAACCACTTCCATCATCTGAATCATTTGTTGAACGTACGACCCGTTCTACGGTTCAGAGTGGACCGCAGAGGTTCTGGTACCGATCCAGGACTCCACGACATCAGCCTTCCAGTTGAACTGCAGGAAGGCAGAGTTCTCGTCCAGCTTGGCCTTCCTCTGAGCCGCCGCCCGCTCCAGCTCCGACACCTTCCCTCTCAGAGCCGCCATCTTGGCGCTGATGTTGTCCACGTGATGGTTGTTCTGGTCCAAACAGAGCAACCGTCCTCAGATGGGTCAGAACCAGTTGTATTTGCTGGAAGTGTTAACGGGTCAGTACCTTGTTGATGAGCTCCTCTCCGTTGGCGCAGACGTCGTTGACCCGGTCCCGGTGGACAGTGAAGTCCGTCTCAAAGGCTTCGTGTTTCTTCAGCAGACCCTAAGGAGGAGGACAATTCAAACTCAGCAGAAGTTGTCGCTGTGGTTCTGGTTCTGTAAGGTGAATGTTCGGGTCAGAACCTGCACGGCAGCCAGCGTGTCTCCGTAGTCCTCGCTCCCGACCAGGTTCAGCTTCTCGTTGATCCAGGCTTCTTCCTCCTCCACGTTCGCCACAAACTGCTGGTACTCCAGAGACTCCTCCAGCCTCTTCCCTCTGAAACACAAGAACCTGCTCTAAACCCGGTTCTGAGCTCGAATTCTGGTCCGAACCGCTCCGAAGGCTCACCTGGCTCCAGACAGGTCCTTCAGTTCCTTCCAGTGCTCAACGAACTGGGCCAGTCTCTGCTGGATCTCCTCCTGACCGATGGTGTTGTCGTCGGACAGCTTCTTCCCCGTGTCCAGAACTGACTGCAGGAAGAGCCCGGGGACAGAACCAGTGAGACAAACAGAACCGGGTCAGGACACTTTAAACCCCGCCCATTGAACAGTGAGCCTACCTGGATGGCTGGCTCGTGG